AGAGCTGGGCCTGTTCAGCCTGGAGAAGAGAAGATTGAGAGGCGGTCTCATCAACGTGTACAAGTATCTGAAGGGGGAGTGTCAAGAGGATGAGGCCAGACTCTTCTCCGTGGTGCCCAGGGACAGGACAAGAGGCAATGGGCAGACACTTAACCACAGGAAGTTCCATCTGAACCTGAGAAAAAACTTCTTCACTGTGAGGGTGACAGAGCATTGGAACAGGTTGCCCAGAGAGGTAGTGGAGTCTCCTTCCCTGGAGATATTCAAAAGCCGTCTGGATGTGATCCTGGGAAATATGCTCTAGAGGTCCCTGCTTGAGCAGGGAGGTTGGACTAGATGATCTCCAGAGGTCCCTTCCAACCTAAACGATTCTGTGATTCTGTGTAATTAGGAAACCATTTCATTATGTGGATTTTTTAAAAGAACTCTATAGCTTTCACATGGAGTTTGCTTCACGTGCTGTTTAAACTTATGATATGATATGGTTTCCCATAGCTATAATTCAGGAAAAAAGTGATGACTGCTTAGGAAGCCTTGGGAGCAAACCCTGAGGACTTAATTGTGCTTTCACTCAATGCTTGTCAAAGTGAATTTCTCTTGCTTCTGTGTGTATTAGCCTGAGAGAAAGCTGATTGCATTAAATGAAACTTCAGGTTTGGGTTCTAAACTTTTTTTTTTAAGAAAATTAAATGATGATGAGAAAATAGGATGAGCTTTATCCCAGGATCCTTGGAAACCTTTGTGAAAATCTTCCCTGGTTCAAGCTTCTGATTTCAGATGTTTCCAAGTATGTATTTTGTCATACACTTCACATTGTTTCCAACAGAAATAAGAACTTTATTTAAACCTCTTTTTTAGGACTCTCTAGTTGATGCTTTTAGAAAATTTGCTCCTCGTGATTGTCCCCTTTTCCTTTTCTTAGTTTGAAGGATGGAAAAATGTATACTTCTGAACCATTTATATTTACAGTGATGGCTCCTTTCCACACCATTTTCTTTTTAAGAGCAGTATTCTTGATCGAAGCAAATTTCCAACTGATTTTTTTAGAGCCCTAAAAACAGGCTTCAGAATTTACATCACATATGACTTCTGAATGTACAGCACAAAACATGTTAGATTGAGGAGACCTAACTTGCTGTAATTACAAGATGCTCTTCGGGGTGTCAGCCTTTCAAAGCTGATTATCTCCATGTGAAGTGAAGCTGTATTTCTGCCTGTGCAAACAGGTGTATTAGATGCAACTCAGCTTTCAAAGGACTTTGACATCTTGTTTCATGTTTCCATGTACTTGTAGCATCCTTCCTTCTACACAGTAGGTCAGGTTATTTTTCTTGTTTCCCCATGTACAGAAAGTCCTCCACTGCCAGCTCCTCCTGCCACCCCCCGAGGAAGAGGGCTGGTGGTTTCCACCGAACTCATCATATGCCCCCTTTTTGTGAGGAAAGCTGATCACACTAGAGGGAATGAGTGCTTACACATCCCAGGGAAAAGTACAGCTGGGGCTGTACTGCTCTTTAATGAAAAGAGGATGTACAGAGGGAAACTCTCCATTCAAGAAGAGTCCATAAGAAAGCAGAAGACACCAGGAGGAGCCAGGTGTAGAGAGAACAGTGATCCATGGGATGGTCTAAAATCCCATGTTAATTCATTTTAATCCCAACAAATTTGCATATGACTTGCAGGTCTCTTGTGTTGAGTAGGTCTTCCACTCCACAAAAGATATTTACACCCACAGTAAAATTTAGAGTAGAGAACATGTGCACTCCATATGCCAGCATCTATATATTCTCCTATGCACCTCTAGCCCTCTTTCCTAGCCCCATTCATTATCCCTTCTAAGGACATGTTTGCTCTAGGTAGGATGACAAGATATTTGAATCATATCTGAAATTCAATTTTGTAGTGAATTTCTTGCAGTCTCATTCAGGCTTCCTTGCTCCAGAGAGGTACAGGTGACATTTACCAATGGTATGAAATAAACAGGATTTTGGTCTTTATTATCTCAAAGCAGTTGCCATAAGCAAGCACTAACTTTTAGATGCTGCACTGCTTCTGATAATTCTTTGCAGTTGCTGCAAGGCTTTAATCATAAAGCTTTGTTTTTCTTCTCTTATAAAATATGACTGATGAACATTTTCTGATTTTCATATCCCCAGATGATTAGCATTGACTTAGCCTTTAAAACATTCTGACTCAGCTAATTTGAAAAACTCAGCTACATTTTAAGTGAGAAAACTGCTATAGTGCAGAAGCTTTCACATTTCAAAGGATACATGTTCCAAATTATTGAGCCCACTAATTTGTAAGACATTAAGAATAGCAGTGTTTCCTCCAGAACAGTCATGATGATTAGACTCCCTGATATCAAGGGCTGTGGTTCGGTTACTGATATTCCATGAAACATTACTATTTCTTTCTGCTGTTGGCCAACTTTTTGCAAGTATTAACATTAGCACTTAGGAGGCACATAAAAATGGTTACTCTTTAAACTTCTGGATGATCAGCATAAACAAAAGCAAAATGGTTTATTTGGGTGGTTTCAGGAGCTGGGCAATATTCTTTATGCTTTTCTTAACCTGGTTCTGCACAGCATCAATGTTGTGAGATGAAGTTATTGGGATACTGAAGTTAAGACCAAAAACTGACAAACGGAAATAACCCTGGTTTCATAAAACAAAATATGAGTTAAATTCTGCTAATTCCCTGGTAGAAATGGGTGTTCAGTTCAACTAGATGTGCTGATGTCCCTCAAATTGCAGGCTGACAGTGTGGTTCTTGTTCTCATTAGGAAACCCCACATAGCTGATAGCTTGAATGACCTTCTGTCATGCAACTTCTGGGAACTGAAAATAAAGACTTTGGAGATGAGGGATCTCAACACGATGATCAACATATTTTTCTAGAACAATGTTTTCAAGTTTGTCTCTGATGCTTTCAGCAATTCCTGCCCTTCAAACCTGTCCAGAACAACTTTCAGTGCTTTGCTGTCTAACTCCTACTTGCCTGAATTTGCAACATTTTCCCTTATGTCCATTTTTGCTGTCCATTTTAGTAACAGAATTTTGCTTTTTCTCTTTTTTTTTTCTGAATTTCAGACTTATCAATGAGTCTTTTAGGGACCAGTTGCTAGTTACCATCCAGAAGACGTTCACCTATACCCGAATGCAAGCACAGCACCTCTTCATTATCCTCATGGAGTGCATGAAGAAGAAGGAGCTGGTATGTTCAGATCTTCCTTAGCTGAGAAGAGAAAGCTCAATAAATTGTTTTGATTGAGTCTTTCAGGAGCCTGCTGAAAGATTTTACAAATCTGATCATGGTGATCTAGACTCTAAAAGGTATAAGGGAAGGATGTAGTATTCCCAAATCTGATCACTATATTAGACTTTTGTTTGCTTTAGTCTATTTCCTGATATAAAGTGATTAATCCAATAGTTCTGCTCCCTCTGTAAATTCCCCTATGTTTACTTTGACAGAACAAAATGTAGCTAATAGGACATGGATATTATTACTTTTCAGTCATCCTCAGGCATACTGTGATTAAAATTCTACCACTTTCAACTATAGAAACCCTCAGAAGAAAGTGTAATTGTATATCCATCACTGCGATCATATTTTGAAGATACTGTGCAGTTGTAGAAGTATCACTAGGGCTATTATTTTATTATGGAGATGTGTGAAAGGAAAAGAAAGCAGCTTGTCCCCAAGGATCCTATTCTGCAGTGGCAGGCTATCCCTTTACACATACTTATACTTTCTAGATGAACACAAGATCTTTCAATAATTTCTGGGAGCTCCATGAGGCTGCTTTTGCAGAAGCATTTCTGAAGCAAAATCACATTTTAAAACGGTTGGAATTAAATTCTAGTAGCTTTTATTTCTTGCAGACTGACTGAATAGACATCCTTCTATTTTGTAACTTAATCCTTCTCCCATGATCTGTTTTCAATTCATATCACAGCTCCCTGAAATTCCAGGTTGTTAACAGCCTGCAACACTTTGTGTAGGGTAACATTCAAGAGAAAGGATTTGACTCAGATTTTTTATAGGTGTTTCTTTTCTGAAGTTCTCTTTGAGTTCTCTTTAACTTCATCCTCTGTTGTGCCTTTTAATTTCAGTTGAAAACAGGACATGGAGTGAATGATACCACTGAATGTGGGTGTAGTAATGGTTAGGAAGGGTCAATAGGAAGGCTGGTCCTTTTAGCCAGAGCTTTGCAAAAGAGCAGAAGATATTCCTTTATACAATTTAACTTGCCAAGAGGGCAGTACCCTGGTCACTAACCAGCAGCTCATGCATCCATCAAAAAGTAGCCAGCCTTCCTCATTCATAACTAAACATTTATGCATATCATAAGCACATGGCATTTACCTTGGAGAGCTGCAGGAGGGGGTTGTCTAGGACAACTTTGCAGGAAAGACATAGCAGCAGCATGCAGCTCCACTCTGCTGTTGCACCATAGCTGGTTGATGGAGCTGGCCTGGGCATTTGTCCATTTATCGGCATCCCCCATGGGCTGCTTCCTCCCACAGTCAGAATTCAGATGAAATGATAACCCTGTGCCTCTTATAGCTTTGATGCTGTAAATGTGCCCATTTATGTTAACATTTTTAATAATCATAATGCACATGTACAGGACCTACATGGGAGGGAGGGAGGAAGGAATGAAAGAAGGAAGGAGGGAAGAAGGGAGGGAGGCAGGGAAGGAAGCAAGCAAGAAATCAAGAAAGAAAAAAAGAGAGAGAGAGAGAGAGAAATAGAGAGACATCAAGTTACCAAGACTCTCGAAAACATGCAAATCTAGATTATTGCAGGCCTCTAATTCCAGACTTCATTGTCAGGCTTTGAACAAACTCTGCTGTTGTGAAGTTAACTATGGAGTTTTCACTTGCGGTTATCAAGTCAGGATTTTTATTCCAGGCAAGGTGGTGCATTTGTTAAAAGTTGCTTTGCAGATGTGTCACCTCTGTCACCATTTGTACTCCTCAGCTACCTCTCAGGTGAAAAGCCAGCAGCCAGGAGATGGTTTGCCCATAGGTGTTTTGAGCTTGAGTTTGTAACATTAACCCAACTATGCACAAAGGGAATACATTAAAACAGATGTTTCTCTCAGGTATCTCAGTTGCACTCAGACAGTGCAAATTTTAACAGTGGTAAGCTGAAAAGATTTTCTACCTGTGGTGTAGTTGTTAAGCTAATGGTGTCCTTTAAGACTCATGATGATGTAGATAAATGTAGAAGAATGGCAATATTCATAATAATGAAGGTAGCATTGCCAGAGGAGTCAGATGGCCTTGGAGGCGTGAAGTATTCCCAGGAGTGAGTGGAGGCTTCACCAGTTCTATATAGCCAGATGTTTCATATCTCCACATCTGCTCCAGCTCTTCTCCTTCCTCTGGCTTGACCTTCTGATTTTTGTCGTTCATAAGACAAAACACTGCTTGATGAACTGGCATTGTCATTGCTCAGATCTTCCCTCTCCCAAAACAAATAGAAGGAAGATGCAAAAGATTGTCTCTTATTAGAGCTCAGCAGCAGCCAAATTGATCACAGCTATTTTTCCTAAGTTGATGGGTCCGGTCTCCCAGGCTGTCTGATTTTGTGGCTACTAAATTCATAAGTAGCGAAGTAGACAGTATGGGAGAGACTTGCCATATTATGGTGTGCAGCTAAACAAATAAATGCAAATAGGTACAGACAGGAAGATGCTCTTACAGTAAAATACATAAATACAGCTGAATTACAGATGTGCAGAGGAAATTTCCAAAGAGAAAAGAAAATGCAAGTTTATCTGTGGAAAGGAATAAAAAACTTTGAAAACAAGATTTTCTACTGTACCTATTTAGAACATATAAATGACTGGCATCTCTTTTATAAACCTAACAGAATTGTGGTGGCCAGGGAAAAAGCGTAATCGTAACAAAGGTTACCCTCTTCACAGGAAATGAGGTTTTTCAAGTTCTGACATTTCAATGTTCACTTTTAAAGAATGGTCTCTGAATTGTATGCCTTACTATTAGATGTGCAGTGTTCTGTTTATTTGCTGAATAAAATCTGAGTATGCAAACTGAATGATAGGGTGAGGCCATAGCAGATGAAAGACCTAAGTCTGTTAGGTTTGCAAAACAGAGCAAATTTCACTTCTCTATTTAATGAGTAGGTTTAATTACGTTGCGAACTTAGCTGTGTTGGCACTGCATACATTCAAGCTTATATTCAGAAATCTATTTGAATCAAGGTGCTTAGAAATGTATATGGTATAAAAATCTATTTAGAATTAAATAGAATATAGGTGTCTATACATATAACTGTAGAATACAAGGGCAGGAGAGTGACTTATATATAATTTATGGAGATTCACTACTGTTACACTTACAAAGAATTATTAAAAAACATTTACCTAAAATAAGAGCATGAAGGCTCACCAAAGCTAATTGTGCAGGAAGTAGTATTGTAAAGTCCAGTCAACACCTTTTTTTGAAAATTACTATGAGCACTTTTTCTACCTGTTCCCATCTCCTCCATGTAACTTCAGAGGAAGCTACAACAGCAAATTTGATGATACCTTGTCTGCCACTAAGAAAAAAGAAATTGGGGAGGA